CTATTATTCCATTTAAGTAGAAATAAATCTGGTATTTAAAACCATGACAATTAATGTGGAAAAAAAAAGACATGGCAAATAATGCCATCATAAATTATGGCACAGCATTTGTCATAATGACAGACATTTGAGCATTTAGAAATCAGGCAGAAGTATGAGACTTGTAATGCTACATAAAAGGACATACAAGAATGTGAGAGTAAGAAGCTTGTTTGGTTGGGGTTTTTTTTCAGATACTGTTTTCCTTCCTATTAACTGTATGGCTACTGCATACAGTGGGGGGAAAAACCCAAACAAAAACTCTCAGAGTTCCTTCCAGTATATGGACAGTTCATCAGAAAACAAACCTATCCATAGATGAAAGTCAACTGACAATCAAGGAATGCAATAGAGAATCACCAAATTATACTACCAGCATGTGAACTGCCTCCTGGTTTTGGGAGTGGGGTGGGGGGATTGTAATTTAGATGTTTTAAATGTTTAAAGAGTTCCTCTGCTGGCTTGGTCTTGCTAGCACAAATCAGTTTTTAGAAGAGGAGTTTTCTCCCAGGTTTTAACAGCTACTTCCTTCCATTGTCTAGGAAGTGATTTACTGAATTCTACAAATATAACAACTGCCAGCAATAGGAAGATGACATTCACACTCACTCTAACTCACTGCATAACAAAGATCTCTGATATAATTTAGCAGTGAGAAAATTGTGATTAACTATTTCACTGACAGGATTGCAATAGTATAGAACAAACATAGTACACAAAACTTTCTGCATGTACAGAAGCTGCAGGATGTTGGATGTTTGGTTGGTTGGTTGGGTTTTTTTTGGAGCTGGACTGTGGATCTTAAAAATAGTGACATGTTGGCCTAAAGCTGGAGAAGAACACCAGTAGAACATACTTCTTTCTACTTCAATGGGATTTTATCTTTGGCATTACAACAACAATCCTTCTATACCTTAATAATGAAATAAAACTATTTCCGATATTTTATTAATCTTTTGAAGCCTCTTTACAAAAGTGTCATCAACATGTGGTAACATTCATTTAGTCAAGTGTGTCTGGTTTGCAGTTAAAAAATGAGGGAAATGTCAAAAATTATGGTGCATTTCTGTGCTGAACTATTTAGGATCTTAATGGCTAAAATATCCAGACTGGCAATAAATTCATCCTTAACTTGAAGTTTTCCTTAATTCTTATTAAAATCAGTGGACTTCATAAGCATGTTTTAACTGGGCTAGAAAAGATAATGCGTTGAAGTCCTTTGAAAAACCAACACCCTACACATATATTGTACAGATGTTTTGAGTTTGAGGACGTAAAAAAACTACAGGGAGGGATTACTTTTCTGTACTTCAAGCCTACAGTGGTGGTGATCACAGGGAGCATTCCTGTCTGCGTGCAATGAGATTTCCATTCTACCAGTGCAACTGAACCAAATAAAAGTTCATTTGTCAACTGGTCTAGTTGTGACAAAGTGGTTTTGTGTAAAAGAAAAATCCAAGTGAATAAGGTCTCTGCAGCCTCCTCTCCCCTCTCTGTAAATATATTCATGCCTTGCAACTCACAGGCTATTGCAGAATGAAGGAAATAACTTTTTGTGGCCATGTCATATTAAAATATTAACAACTCTAGCAACATATACCATACTTGAGGGAGTTAATAATTCATTTCCCCTCTAGTGTGCCTATCTTCCATCTGCCTTCACTATTGTCCTGGTTTGGGACAAATTTGTGAGGAAACTTTTAAAGTGGTCTTTTCTAGAAACCAAATTCAAGCAGCTCCTCTCACAACTGGTTTGGGGAAAGATTTTTTTGGAGAAAAGTGGAAAAAACTGCCAAGTATTCATGAGCATTAAAAAAAAAAGAAGAATATTAAACAATAAAACCTCTCACTGTTCTGAAAATATGGCAAATTCAGAAAGTCCTTGTCATGGGGTGTAGTTCGGCTCACTCAGTCTCTTATCAGTCCCTCCTGAGTTGGAAAATGCTGCATCCTGGGCCCCAGTGGGTCACAGGCACAAACTCCTGGTGGTTTTTTGGGTTTTCAATCCAGAGCAGGGCCAATCAGTTCCAAGAAAAAGAAAAGCCACCATCTGGGGGACTTCTCTGCCTCAGCTAGCTAAAAACTAACTAAAAGCAAAGGAGAACTTTCTCCCGCTCCCTGTCCATGCTGAGGACAACACGCACTGAGAGAGAGCAAGGAATGCGCAGGAGCAAGGGCAGTTTATGAAAACAAACTTCATGCTTCTTCTCTCCTCAGATTCACTCTTGGAACCAGTCTTAAAGGTGCAAACTTAAAATCCAGCATAAACAGAACAGACAATTGGGGATACAAGCACCATAAAGTCCCCCTAGGACAATTACCTTCTGTGCTGTCCATCTGAAGCCAACTGTAATTTCAATCACGGAAACTTACAGATTTTCAAGCACTGAGTCTTTAACCTGAAGGACTTGGTGAATTTGCAAGTAAGGGGAAATGTTCAAAGACTCAGAATGGAAGCTCGCTCACAGAAACTGTACTGAAGACACAATATATGATACATATAGAGTAAGTTTAAAACCTCTTGCCTATCTCCCAGAGACAGAAAGACTATAAGGCAGACAGAAAAGAGTACTCTTCTCTGAGAAACCAAAACCAATACAAAATTGCCTTTAACAGCATCAGTTGCAGATACAGGAGACTTTGAATTATTTCTGGAAAGACTTGGAGCCATCATGGCATGGAATCTCTATGGTGGAGATTTAATGAATCACAATGGTCTTCCTTATCTCTGCTTTCTTAAACATTTTTCCCAAGTATAATTGGAAAAAAAGGTATCTGCAGAGTAGAATGAAGCAAAGAACATGCTGCACATGCTGCAGGTCTCCTACTTCTACACTACGGAATGCATCCCTCCTGTCCAAAATGCTCTTGAATGTCTGACTCCACAAATCCAAATGATCTCTGGGAGAGATGAGCTTTGCAGGGATCACAGAATCACAGAATGGGTAAGGTTGTAAGAGACCACAGTGGGACACCTAGCTCAATCTCTCTGCTCACACAGGGTTCCCTACAGCATATTTATCAGGAACATGTCCTGATGGCTTTTGAATATCCCCAGGGAAGTAGTCTCCACAACCTCTCTGGACAACCTATTCCAGTGCTCAAAAGAAGTTCCTTTCCATGTTGAGGTGAAACTTCCTGTGTTCCAATTTCTGGCCATTTCTTCTCATCCTGTTGTTCATGAGCAAGAAGAGCCTTGGTCCTACCTCTTGATGTCCTCCCTTCAAATACTTCAGACATTGATAAAATCCCTTTTCAGTCTGCTCTCCTCCAGGCTAAACAGTCCCAGCTCCCTCAGGCTCTCCTCATGAATGAGGTGCTGCAGTAATCTTCTCATCTTCATTGCCTTCCTCTGGACTTGCTCCAGGAACTCCTTGTCTCCTTTGTACTGAGCTCAGGACAGGTCACAGCACTGCAGATGCAGACTCACCAGGGCTGAGTAGAGCAGCAGGATCACTTCTTATGACCTCCTGGCCCCATTCCCTAATGCACCCCCAAGATATCAGTGGCTCTCTGCCACAAGGACATGCTTTGGCAGCCTATTGCACACCATGACCCACTTCTCCAGAGCTGCTTCAGAGCAAGTCAGCCCCCAGCCAGTACTGGTACATGCAGTTCTTTTTCCCCAGGTGCAGGACCCTCCTCTTGACTTTGATGAATTTCAGAAGGTTCTTCTCTGAACAAGTCTCCAACTTGCTGAGATTCTTCTAATGGCAGCACAACATTCTGTGGTATTGGCCACTTCTGAATCCAATACTTACACCTGGGGGACACCACAGCCCTCCAGCTAGACCCTGTACCACTGATCAGAACCCTCTGAGACCTGCCATACAGCCTGTTCTCAATCTACCTCACCATCTGCTCATCCAGCTCACACTTCCTGAGCTTGCCTATCAGAATGCCAAGGCAGACAGTGTCAAAAGCCTGGCTGAAGCCCAAGAAGACCACATTCACTGTTCTCCCTTCATTTGTCCAGCCAGTTATCCCATTGTAGAAGGCAATCATCTCCAATTTGGCTTCTTCCATAGCTATGATATGACAGTAAACCATTAAAGTTCATAAAATATAAATCTGTTAAATGTTAAAAAACCCTAACTAATTAGCCGATGATCTGATATGAAAAGTCAGAAAGTCCAACAGTCCTTTAGTGAACTGCAATAAATTGTGCTTCAGATTGTCATGAATAGTACATCACAAAGTGGAAGATTAATTATTATGTAAGTAAGAGTTGAACACATGCATCATATCAGTCTAAACAAAGAGGAACCAAACATTTATGGCACTAGCCCACACACACTAACATAGTTTGTTTCCCTGGCATAAAGGTGTCCCTGCATAAATAAGAAGGCTAGAATTTAAGCTTCTATCAGACAAGCCAAGTGCACTGGAAATCCTTCATGCATTTATTTATCACAGTAGGTGGAAATATGACAACTGATGAGGCAATGTGCAGGGCAGGGGAGAGCAGGGAAGAAGAAAGAGGGAATGGGTAAAAAGGTCTATAAACAATCAGTCAACACACTCACTGCAAGTCTACTCTACCTTCTCATTGCCACTGCTCTCTTGAGCATTTGCATCTCCATGGACAAAAGATTCATTGCTCCCGTAATGTCAGTGCCCCTTGAAAAAAACCCAAACCATCAAAAACCCAGCACTTCTGACCATGACAAGCTACTTTCTGGAAGAAACTCCCAGTCTCACTTGGCAGCACAGACTCAATTACTAAAACAATCAAAAGCTGTATGGAACATGCCAGGGTAACAAATAAATCACACATGGAATAAGGAGGAAAAGAGCTCAGAAAATAACCAGGAGGTAGAAGCAGGGGCAGTACTCCTATGAGTGAAATTCAGTCATCCTCTTGGCTGCTTGGCATGAGAGCCTACACACAATCTTACCATGTCTGACACCATGACGACAAAGGTTGTACAAAAATGTTTTCTAGCTGGAAAGGGAAAAGATGTGATCCACAGATAACTGGCTCTTTATTTCACACCAATTGCTGTGCTCACACGTGTCCTCATATGATATTCATTCTGTACATAGTGATTTTCACTGCCCACATTAACAAAGTAATCCAGACTGTTTTGCTCATCCTCCCAGGCCAAGAGTTAAACAAAGAGTAAGCACGAGTCAAAACACTCCTGCTAGAACAGAATTCAAGTCCATACGACTTCAGGAGGGCTGTGCATACTTGTCCAGGCAAATACCAATCAGGCAACCCTCCAGAAGGTTCTCCTGTTTCATGGAGGTATGACAGCTTGCTCAGAGATCCCTTAACTAGGATTGCATTTCTCAATACTGAATACACACAACAGCAGCTCCAGAGGTGAATTCTACCTTTAGTTTTTTGAGAAGACTGAAGTATTTAATTCAGTGTGCTTTTGGGATGTTTTGAGCTGTGGCTAAGACAAATTTCAGTTTTGCTCCTCCTAAGAGTAAGATATACCAACGCTCCCCAGCATTGTGTCTTTCATAGCATATAACTATTCACAAACATGGCTGTCTGGATGAGGAGGTATTTTGAACGCTTTCATAAATATTGAAATAATGTCCATCTGATGGATGCGTCTAACAGTGTCTCACATCAAAATACTCCAGCAACTCCGGAAAGATTTCAGACTTCATGAAAGAGGCCTCAGGTTGGAAAATGACCAAGATTCCAAAACACTCAGGCAATTGCTGGAATAAAATACTGAAGTGAGACCTCCTCATGGAGCAAGATGAAATGGACAATTCTCTTACGTACAATATCTGTGGGGAAAAAAAATTAAAACACAAATTCACCTTAAAGCAGGAAAAATACTTTAAAATTGTATCTTTTAAAGATGTCACCATAAAAACAATGCTTCCACCACTTCTGACAGAAGGGTAACTAGACAATTTAAATCCTTGAGGGTCTGTGAGGCATTAATAGTTTATGAAAGATGACACCAAAAAGTAAATATATAGTATATAGGTTTATAATGCTACACCAATTATTTAAATCTTCATTGGGAAATTCTCAGTATCTGCACTAAACCATAACAAACAGATGTTCTCAGGAAAAGCACAGTTATAAAAATAGGATATAAACCCCTGCAGAGACTTCTGCTAGAAAGGAAGTATTGTTTTCTATGGCTAGAAACACTAGCTGTATAAAAAGCATTTTAGTATTTGAATCAGTGTAAGAAAACATCCAAAGGGAAAAACAACCCAATCAAAAAAACATGCCAGTAAATTTCAATTTCTCTGCTAGAAGCTAGAGGCTTTAAGACTTTCAAAAAATAGTATCTCAAAATAATAATAAACATTAATAACAACTTTAAAACAAAGACAACAAGACAACACACAAGATTAGTGAATCTGAGTATTCAGCTTGAGACTTTTAAAACAGCCTGACTTATTTTTTCTTTCCCAAATGCCTAGGACCTGAATCTAACTGCCTAAAAATATAAATATTAGAAGTCCTCAGGTACAGTAAAAATAGTTGACTTTCAGACAGACAAAACAGAAGAGATGATATTCTGCTGAAACTAAGTATGGCAAACGACCCTACTTAACTGGAGTTCACAAGCAGAGCTGTTGAACTTACTGCACAATGCTTTTGTAGGATTGACCTGCTGTCCAGCAAGCAGCTGCTGCAGCTTCTTGATGTCTATGCATGCTTCAGCCATACTTTCCAGATCTCTGCCCTGAGCAGAACTTTGACATCCATCCTCTGATGCTAAAAGAGTAAGAACACAACACTTAGTCCAAACATAAAAAGCAGTTTCAACACCCACAGGGACATAACTGAAAACTGCTGAAGTGTTGGAACTCAACTGGCTTGTTTTTTCAGAACAGTGCAAGGACAAGAAATCCCAGTTTTCCTACCAAATTGTCAAGAATAGGAATTTGATAGGAATCTCTTTGACAAAGAGATTCCCCACCACCACCCCAAACATGAAACAGACACTCCACTGGCCACTCCACTTTTTCTTTTAAGATTTCATTCGAAGACTTCAAAGTACTTGATGCTATTTTCTAAATAATAAGAGCTAAAAAGTACTGTTATAAGCAACACACTTAAGTAATGAGATCAGACAGACACAAGAGGTAACAGGGAAACTTACCCCAGGGAGGATTTCCCAGGTCTTTAAAATGTGTTGTTACTGATACTAAGTCAGTTTCTATTTTCAAGTTCATTTCACCACTCAAGTTTGCTTCAATCACCTGCAATCAATCTCAATTTTAGGCAACCCACTTTCACACTGCAGAATTACAGAAGAATATAGTTTGGTTTTGTTCAAATACAAGCTTCCAGGAGTACTTCAGTACAAGTCAACCATACTTTCTGAAAATGGTTGAACATTTGAATGTTCAGCTATAAAATGCATTTCCCATCATTCCCATGTGAAGTACTCTAGACCAAACTTTCAGAAGTTATGAAAAGAAAGAAATTTAATTGTTCTCCAGTACTTTTAGAACAAGTATTAGCTTTGCGAAGTTCATGAGGAAAAGACTTCAGAAATAAGAGACTGAAGCTGAAGAAACGCAAAGATTCCTCAATTTCCATTCAGTTATTCAACAAATAGAAAGGCACCTACACAGTCTATATGACACACTGTCGTAGTTTGACCCGGAAGTGAGGTTTTAGGAAGTTATGGTCAAACCAATCACTGGCCAGATTTCAAATTGGCACCTGGTGTGGCCACTGGGGACTTGAATACGCCTCTGAGAACACACAGGGGTTAAAAGCAGAGCACTCCCAGAGAGACTTCCTCTTTGGAGTCCGGCAGGTGAGCGGATCGGACCTCTCCCCTGCCCAGCTGCATCTGGGTGGGGGAGGGGGAGGCCATGCAGCCTGAGAGAGAGAGAGAGAAGCCGGAGCCTGCAAGATGCAGGAGTGGAGGAGTCCTAGGATGGTTTGGGCAGCCCCCCCGGAGAGAAGAAATGAGATGCACCAGGAGCTGACAGTGCTGCTTTCAATAATTTAAACTAGACAACAGCTGGATCAGATCAGTAACTCCAAGAAGGACTTTGAACTGACAGAAATCCTGGAAAAGTGCTAAAAGCTTTCAAATTCCATCCTGTAAACTGGAAGAAGGAATTTGAAGGAGACTATATATGGTCTTACACTAATCCGAAGTAGATCAGAGGATTCCGAAAGCACAACTAGGCACCTTGTTTCTGTGATTAGATGAATTTTCAGTAATTAAAAAAAAAGACTTGTACTACAAGCAGAATTTTGTATAGAATGGCTCCAAACAATGGACAATGGGCAAGTACTATCAGAAATTGCTTTTAAGTCCATTTTGCAGCACTGATCTTGACCAGTTTTATTACCAGGATGCATCTTACAAAAATAATTCATTGTGACAATTGATGTTTTTGTTTTCTAACAACATGAAAGCAAGACACTTAGTATAAGTTCAATCCCATCATACAACTATCCTCTGTGAGAAAAGAGCCTCAGCTCCAGAAACAAAAGCACTGCACTCAATTTTGCATAAGCATATCCACCAAGGACATGGGAGAGGGAAAGAAAATAAAAACAAAGCCCCCAAAAAAATCTCACAAAAGAAAAGTTTGATGTGTATTTGCAGGATGGTTGCCATTTGCAAAACTGCCAGTAACCCAGGGTAATCTCTCAACACTTCCAAGTTCTGAAAAACTGAGACTGTTCCAATTTCAGGATTCTCAGTTAACAGAAAATTTCCTATTTATCAAAACTGGTACGAACAGCATCAAACCCAAACTATTTCAAAGCTCTACACTTACTTACTAACTTTCATGTCAGTCAATTATGGTGACTGTGAGCACAAACAATTAAATAAAAAACCAAAGCCCTTTTCTGTCCAACCGCAGAAGGCTTCTTTCAGTTAAAAGGCCCACCGGCACTCTAGAAATCCAGGGTAGACTGCAAATCCAACATGTCAGTCTAAAGCACAGTATGACATCCAGGGGCTATTAGCAGCATTTCCTTTAAATCCTATATCAAGTTTACCTAAAGTTCATTCACAGACACCTAACACAACACTCACTTAATTGGCATTTCCTTAACGAAATAGCCTGGAAAGTCTACAGCTAACTTCCTGAAGGACTGTCATGCCTTACCAGCTACAAAGAGTATCTTGTAGCAACACAATGCCATGTTCTTTCAGAGATTTAGTACAAAGGGCATCATTTTCTGAGAAGCCCAGGAAAAGCTCTTCAGTGTAAATCCTAAAATAAATCCCATCATTCTATTCAGGCTTTACACAGGCTTCAGGTGCCTTGATTTCAATGTCTAAGTCATCTCAAATAAGATAATGTAGCAGCACCAGTTTAGGCAACCTGTTATGTCCCTCATGAAATAACATCTGTAGCATACTTGCTTTAAGTGCCTTAACTTACAATGAAATTGCTGAGATTCTTCATCCTTTCCACAACACTCTTCATTGTTTTCAGCACTGGTAGGTAAATACTGACCTAGGAATACATAAGAACTGCATTTGCACAAGTATTTCAGATGTGATTGGGACACATTTATTTCTACTTTCAATTCTATCATAGTTTGGACAGTGTTATCTACAGCTTTCAGAGTGCACAATATCTATCTGAAATCAGCAAATGTCTCAGGAACATAAGAAGTCTTTCCCATTATACCAACAGGCCATCATTCTAGCAATTGTTCCAGACTTAACATATAAGTCTGTGTTCAAAATAGAGGCATGTTTTTGCAGATCAGATTCTCACACGAGCATCTGTGTTACTAAATAGTCAATTACTATAGACAAAAAGAAAAGAACAATATTCCTATAATACTGCAGCAGTGTAAATCTGAAATAAAAGAACAAAATACTGAAAGTTTCTTCTTGTATGTCTTCAGAATCTAAATACTCATAGCTACAGAGGTAACAGACATCCATAACCTCAAATAGGAGCACACTTGTACAAGGACCTTTCCTTAAAACTCTGCTAAAAGTCAAAATCAGGAGGAAACACATATATCTTTAACTCTGCCAGATAGGCCATAGATTTCAGAAAGAACAGATTATTCGGACCATTTGGCACCTGAACAGCTGAAACAGCCTAAAGTTGTGTGGTTTAGACATGCTCCAGACTAAAGCCATGCAAGTCCTTCTTTCCTCCCTCCCTCTGCCATGAACATCACATAAGCAATTGGCAATCACCCACTCTGTTTCCATAAGTTCTTGGCTCTCTTGTCAGGATAGAAGCCATGTTCCATACCCCTCCAAAACTGTAGCCTCCAGTCTTTCCTCTTTCAACTCCTTTCCCAATCCCACCATAGTATACTCTATAGCAATACCATTCCACTTGCAAACTCCCCTTTCAGAAGGGAATATAAAAGCAGAGGCTTACATCAAAGTCTGGCACACTGGGCTCTCTGAAGTCATTCCACATTCTTCTGGGAATAACTCCCACAGGAATGTCATGTGTCACAATCCTGCTGCTGCTTGATAAGGATGGCTTGAGGGAAAAAGAGGATGCTTTTGCAGTTAAACACAAGATTGGAATTCTAAATTCAAATTTTTCAGACCCACTCTGGGAAATGCTATAACTACGTGCCCGACACTCAGTTCCAGTTTTCCCTCAGTTCCTATCAATATGCTTTTAAGTGGGCTTCCCTTTCAAATGAGGAAGAGTTTGTGATGCATCAGTCATTAGTATACCTACAAGCTATCTTTAGAACTGAAGAGGTGAATCAGTGGAGTTAACAGCAACAAAAGAATCAGAAGTCAGCAATATCAGGAAAACCAAAGGCAAAACACAAACACTGAAACCTTCACCTAATGGCTTCAATGAAAAGGCAATAATCCGCAGAAGATATAGAGATGAAGGAATGGAGAAAAGTAGACATTAGAAAAACTTGTTTCAATATCATAGCTTTCTTCCTCTACCTCCTCCTTTCCTTTTGGAAAATACAAAGCTGGTTCTGTACGCTATCACCCATGATGGCAGGAAAGGCTAGTGAAATGGAAAATGGCACAATGTTTCTTTAGTTTTCTAGAATTATACCATATATTACCTTCTGATCTTAGCAAACGCACTACATTTTAGAAAACTTTTTCTTAATAATGAACATGAAAGCATGGTTGCACTTACTAGCTCCACAGCAACTCTGAGACAGGGACAGTGTTTATTAGTCAACTTGATCTTCACTGCCTTAGCACTCTGGGCAGTTTTTAATGCTCTCCACAGGTTCTCAGGCACAAACTCGAAATAGATTTCATTGTGCTCTGCAGCTACTCCTTCCATCTGAAATTCATCAAAGAAGTTCCCCTACAATTTTTGAAAGTCAGGAAATAAAGCAAACAAGAGACACAAGTTTTATTTATCAGACCTTAAGCTTAGAATTGCATTTGTACACCAGAAACTCCCCTCTGCCTCAAATCACCTGAGGAATCACAACCATGAAAACTCATTGCTTCAGGCTAAACCATATAATGTACTCCCCTAACACCTAATCAGTCCATTAGACAGTGAGTTATGCTTTCCTGTTTCCAGTTTTGGGCAGGCCCATGTGGGCCAGCACACACTGAAGCTTTACACTGAAGTGACAATCAAGGAAAAGGGAGTATCCAACCTGAAACACCTGTGTAACCAGACAGACTTTGAGAGACCTGGCACATCGAAGGTGAGGGCTACAAGAAATGCCTCGTACATCAAACCCAGTTGCATGCTCTGGTTTTCAAAATGTGGTGACTGAACTTTCCTGGGCTCACCTGGCTCAGCTCACACCACATACTGGCGCCTCCATTTGCTACTTTATCGGAGAGGATGAAATACAGCTTGCAGACGGTAAGGCGCAGGATGCAGGTCTTGGCTAACTTGGCGATTGTGTTAATTATACCTGTCGGAGGGAGGGAGGGAGGAGGACGTTACAGCGGTGATCACTCCATGCACCCCAGTCTCTGCGGGACAGAAAAACCTTCAGCCTTTACAAACGCAGGTCGTGCTGCTTCGCAAACTCCTAAACACCTCGGGGCGAAGGAAAGCGCCTCATGCCACGTCCTCCCAGGAAAGCACTGTGGTCCTCACCTCCCTTCCTCTTTTCTTTGCCCGAGAAAGCCGGCCCCAGCCGCTGAGAGAGGCACTGCCGCCCTTGAGCCTGCCCCGACATACTCACGGCTGAAGTGATTCAGGCAGGCGAGATCCACAATCTTAGCCCGAAATCGCATGGCAGCGCCGGCCCTCCCAGCCCCTTGCCCGCTGCCACGGAAGGCGGTCAGGGAGGGAGGGGCCTCACACCCAAACCGCTCTGCGCCGTCCCCGGATGCGCTTCGGGGTTGGGCAGGGTCTGGCAGAGACGTTCCGGGTTTCCTTCCGCTGCGGTGGAGGTCATCGCAATCCGGGCTGAAAAGCTTAGCTCGAAAATGCTTTGGCATCCCCGGAACATACGTGAAAATTCGTCTGTATGGATCGCAGTCCCGATGTCTCGAGAAATTTCTTTTTCACATCCAAGGGGGCTCTTGCAGGAGACACTATCAGCCCCTGGCAGGGGCCAAGCTCCGACGCTGCCCCACAGGGCGCGGTGGTGGGGAAGGAAAGCAACAGTCGTGTTACAAGGTGGCGCGAACATCTTAATGAGGGGCCTTTCCACTGCCCCATTGTTACCAGGCCAGCCAGAAAGGGCTGGGCAACCCAAAGTGTTTTGAGAAAGATACTCTCTGTCAGACCGGGCACCTCATGTAGCCAGCTCCCAGCTTAATGCATGGTGCACAGGGGTTTATGCAAAGGTTGGAATACGTCAAGAAAATAGAAAGTGAAGGAAAACTTTGTTTTACCTAGTCAATGTGCAGCATGCCTGTTTCCTATAGACGATGTCCTTTACCTTAATGGTTTTGGTTCCTTGCAGTCCTTCAAAACTACAGCATTTGCAGAGACAAATCCTGACAGACCAAAAAAGAACAACACTAGTTTTCTAGTGTTGTTCTTTTTTGGTCTGTCAGGACTGTCTGGTCTTCTTTTTTCACGTTACGAGTTCCCCAGATCAGCTAAATTGTCTTGCTAACATTTAATTTTGAAAAATTCTTGGGATACTGCTCACGTGCCTTGATGCTCTCTTTCAATTGTCATTATGAAGAAAATGAAAAGAGATAACCTTGGGTCTGCATAGTGACAGATACAGCAATAGTTTCTGGAGAGGTTATTCTCTGCTTGTATTGCTCTTAGGCCTCGTAAATTTTGTAGAAATAAGCTGAAGATTTTCCTAGAGAAACCAGTGCAGCAGGGTGTCACAAATTCTCGTCTAGGATCCTGCCAACTATGCCAATTTGTCACAAATTTGGTTTAGGGTCACTCAGAGAATCATCAGGCAAGGTATTAGCAAAAGTGGGGTTAATATACATTTATAAAAGTGTGACATAAAGTTCAATGACAAGATTCGCTCCATCATGAATGAAACATACAAAGAAAAATCTAATTAGAATAATTAGAGAAAAAAGAGTAAACAAGACTCTCCTGTTGAATCACAAATTCAGAGCATATCCTCTTGCTTTCTAAACTCCTCATAGAGCTTAGGTGCAGCTTGGTCCAGTCTTAGTTCAGACTTGGACAGTAGTTTATACCTAACAGAATTATCTCCAACTTTTTCCTTAAATACTTGTCCATTATCCTTTTGTTTTGTGAAACATGGGTGCAGAAGATAAAGCCCTGATCGTGTGAAATCTCACACATTAAACTTTGCAGTTTAACACATCTTCCATCTTTCACAGACATAATTGCAGACTGCTTTTAGTGAAATGATTGCTACATGAAGGTTAAGCAGGAATTTGCAGAAGGAAGGTTGATCTAATCCCTTTCAAGTTGTGGCATCCTGATACATGTGCATTGCATAAGGTTTAAGAGATCCACATCATTTGCCTTTTCTGTCTTTGACTATGGTTTCCTGGTTTGACCCTGGCCAAACACCGGGCACCCACAAAAGTCCCTCACTGACCCTCCCCTGCCACAGCTAGGCAGAGGAGAGAAAAAATTAACAAAGGGTTCATGAGTTGAGATAAGGACTGGGAGAAGACACTCCAAGGGCACAACAGGCTCAACTTGGAGATACAAAGTAGATTTATTACTAATAAAATCAGAGAAGGATAATGAGAAGTACAATAAGCTCTTAAAAACGTCTTCCCTCAAACCATCTTTCCTTCTCAGTGCAGGGATACAGGGAACGGGGGGTTTTGGTCAGTTCTCACCTGAGATCTGCTGCTCAGTGAGAGGGGTCCTTCCTCTGTGAGACTGTGGAGTCCCTCCCATGGGAGACAGTTCTTCATTAACTTCTCCAGCATGGGTCCACTCTCAAGAGTAGCAGTCCTCCTAAAACTGCTGTGGCATGGGTCACTCTTCCATGGGGTGCAGTCCTCCAAGGACAGGCTGCTCCAGCCTGGAAGCAGGGGCCCCCTCTTCCCACTGGCTCTTCCACTGGATCACAGCATTCTCCAGTCATCCACCTGCCCTGGTGTGGGCATCTCCCCCACAGACTGCGAATGGATCTCTGCAACCCCTGTGCATCTGCATGGCCTGCAGAGGAATCTCAGCTCCAGTGCCTGGAGCATCTTCTTCCCCTTTTTCTTCACTGACTTTGGTGTCTCCATGTTGTATCCTTCACATGTTCTCACCTCCTTCTCTTCTCTAGCTGGAATTCAAACTGCGCCATCACTTTGTTTTGATTTTCTTCTTAAATATGTTACCACAGAGTCATTACCATCATTTCTGATTGGCCCAGCCTTGGCCAGTGGCATGTCTGTCTTCAGAACCATCAGAGATTGGCTCTGCTGGACATTGTGGAAGCTTCTAGCAGCTTTTCACAGAAGCTGTGGCCTCCCTGCTACCAAAACCCAGGGCGTGCAAACCAACCCAGCTGGACAAAAGTTTGTTCTCTAGCTTGTTTTCTAGATATGGTCTGTTGTTAACAATGCTTTATAACCTCTCAAAATTAAGCCACAATGAGAAGACAGACTTTATGTATACAAAAAATTTCCATTGCTTGCCCTAAATAATAAAGAATGGGGAATTAATAACCAAGATGGGCATCAGAAATAAATTACTATATGCCACATATACACTCAGAAGTCTGCAAAAAAAAAGGCTTTATATTGCTCTTGCTCTCATCACAGTTGACTGACAGGCTCTACTTCAGGGTTTCAGGCCAGGCAGGAGCCATTTATTACTGTGGCTGTAGGAGAGAAGGCAGATTAACAGAAGTTCAGTTCTCTATCCATACTGGCTTAATATGGAAGTGCTAGGGTATATCACACTGACAGCAGATACACACAACTTTGTGAAGGAACCTTGAAATGGCAGAGCAGCTCTGACAGTAGTACCCCTCTTCTCCTAATAACTCAGAACCTCTGTGCTGTCTGTGGATCTTCTCAGCCTGTATCCTGATTTTGGGCAAATTTGGGAGAAACCCTCCAAAAGGGGCCCCTCCAGAAAGCAAACCCACACGGCCCCTCTCCCCAACTGGTTTGGGAAGGATTTCCTCAGAGATATGTGGAAAAAACCCTGTTTATTTAACAGGCCAAGCACTCCCCAGCACACAAATTGAACAATACCGGATGAAAAAACTCATTCACTGCTCTGAAGAGATGACAAATTCAGAAAGTCTCTCCGGTGACTTTCAGAAAGTCTCTCTGGGTGGTCACTGTTATCAGTTCCCCCAGTGCTGGGAAAGGCTGTGGCCCAGAGTAGACCTCTGCAGGCTACAAAGTGCAAGCTCTCGCTGTTTCTCTGGGTCCCAATCTGGAGCAGGTTTAAAAGGTTCCAAGAAAAGGAAAAGAAAACATTCCAGGGAAAGCTCGGACTGCCTCAGCTAGCTAAACTAACTAACTAAAAAGCAAAAGGAGTGCGGTGTCCTGCCCTGTCTGTGCCCAGACAACAACAGTGCGCTCTCTGTTCCAGCAGACTGGAGGAGAGTCCAGTCCCTGATAAAAAACTGTGCTTCTTCTTCTCCCCACCTTCACTCTCAGCCAGTCTTGAAGGCACAGAATATAATATCCAGCATAAACAGAACACCCGACTGGGGATACAAGCATCATAACATCACACTAGGACAGCCTGTTTTCCTCTTGCTTGTCACACTGCTATATCTGTTGTCAACTTTTAGGCGTAGTGAGTCCTGCTGCCACACAATTACTTGTTGTGATCAAAGCCAATTTCTTCTGCAGTGTTTGCTTGGTTGATGCATTTTTTCCAATTTTTATGTTAGTTATTTACATAATAAATGGATTATACATGCATTTGAAACCACAAGTTCTATGTTTTTAAGCCCGTCTAAATAACTTCAAAGTATAAATAAGGCATTCACACTGCTTAGGTTGCTTAATGGAGAGACAAAGTAAAATAAAAATCTGATAATGTCAACTCTGAGAACTAGAGGGACACTGAACATATCACCAGAAAATGAATAGGTACTAGAAAGGGCTCTTTCTCTGTAAAACAGTTTTAACTGTACCATTAAGTCCTTTCCACATTAATTTGATCTATGAGTGAGTATTACTGTAACTGAATTTGGCTTGAAACGTCTGTATGATTTGATCCCAGTCTGCTGAAGCTGAGTTCTGAATAGGTCTATGTCACTGGACTTAAGAGGTAGTAAAAGAGCATTAAGGGGTTTTTTTGGCTGTTATAGAAAATTTCAGTATTTTTACATAAATTAATTGAAACTGACCATAATGTATATCTAGATGTTAAGGTTAATCAGTATTTTCAATTTGAAATTGTACACTTAATGAAACACACCTTTCTCATACACTGTTTAAAGTTGTTCGTGAAAAACCCAATGTTCAATGGTTCTTTGAGCAAGAAAAGTATAGTACAACAAGCCTACACAAGCCACAAAACAATGATCAGTTTCAAAATACAGTATTCAACTCATTTTTAATGATATGGTTAATGGATCCATTGTGGTGATCACAGCTTAAAAAGATATTAATTTAGATATGAAAAAAACATAAAAAGTGAAAATGAAATTAAGAATAAAACACCGGCTGCAGTGTCATCATCTACACAAAACTGGAACTGAAGTTGTTTTGACTCTAGGGACAATCATGAGAAACTATTTTGAGTGAAATTAAATAATTTTACCTAAAACAAGTTGTGTGTATTTTATTAAAATAAAACTTCCGTTGGAATTCTTAGGGAGGAAGTGCTTGCCCCTCTTTGTACCTTCATGGCAAAGTAATTCACATTAATTTTCAATCAATGGGCCTTGTTTGTATGCTGCCTACATGCTGTTTTGCTTTTTGGGTTTAATGTTAAAGTGAG